AGGTGGCACACACGCGTAGCAGAATTAACACTTGGAGGTCTTCGCTGTCGGTGTTACTGTCACATGTAGTTTATGAAAATTAATTTTAAACTGGTTTTGTGCCATTCTCTCTATCTCAAGGGAAGTGAATTTACGATTCCTCATTTTTTGCTTCTACTACAGGTCGTTTCAATATTCTCTACAACAAACGTTTCTCTTACTGTAAAAATTCTTACCTATTCTAGCTTTTTGATGAGATAATTATACTGCAATATTATGAAAATAATTGTCTGCTGAGAAATTCTAAAGTAATAACCTATAGTGTTATGCAAATGTCTTGTACCAGATATCTTTAGGACACGCATATTAAGTGGTGAGATTAGGTGGTTCAGACTTAAAGTGGACGTAAAATGAACGTCTTTGATACGTCGTGTGCTCACCCAGGGTTGAAAGCCGTGAATTTGATTCAACCGGGGTCGATCAAGATTCTGTCAGAAGAGAAACTGGTTTGATAGAACGCGTCGGATAGCGATTGCACCTGCTTGGCAGGTGCGCCACTGATTCAGCCCCTGAAAGCGAGGATTATTAAACGTCTAATCAGCGATTAGTGTTTTAATTGTCAGAACTTGTTGAAATGAACTCGAGATGACGTGTATCACGAATATTAATTCGAATATACATATAATTATTTGAGTTTCGGGACAAGAAGCTTAATGAGAGGTTTCTCGTTAAATCGTTTAGATTTCTCCTCCTATAGAGGTGACAGAAAAATAATGCAAACTTGAGTTTCATACAACATTTTCCTTCAAATGCTTCGAACAGTATGTTCGTTTTCAATAAGAAGATGCAACAACAGAAATTGATTCGTCGACGTTTGTAAAATGAAGCTACCTTTTAAAATTTCCATAGAGAATTACCAGACATCTTCGTAACAAATGCACGACACGTTTATTCGATATCACTGTCCACCCACTCTTCACAAACTATTGCAAAAAACCCTCTGTTACAGTCCGGCATCTTCAAGCTTCTAACCTGTTAACAGGATCGCGATCATTAACACGAGTGGTTCTCGAACGTCGATGATCCTTGTTCGGCCAAACGTTCTCCAACGTCTTCAAACCGCCGAGCTTCCTGTTGGCAGCGCGGGGGGCCGGTATCGGCCATTTTCTCCGGCCTGGATCTAACGATCGCCGTGGCTCGCGCAGGGTGGCGGCCGAACTGACATTTCCCCGCAATAAATTCCACCTGGTTAGGCGGGCCGTGGGGCAAAAAATCGACGGGTAATGCGTATGGTAGGCGCTGTAGGAAATTACGTGTTCGCGGTTATTGGCAGGCTGGGCTGTAAAGCCGAGGAAACTCGCTTTCGTCGGCTGAGAATCGAGTGGACGGCCGGCCGTGAGGCGAAAGCGGCAAAAAAGACTGATCTTGAAAGAAGGAGAGAGAGAAACGATGCTGATTGAGGGAGTGCGAGCGAGATGCTGAAGAAAGAGAGAGTAGCGTAGCGGGATAGAGCGAGAGACGGAATTGGAGAAGGAGGAACGAGGAGGAGCTGTTGAGGTCCAGAGTGTACTCCCTTCTTTCACGGTGGTCCCCGGCTCCGAATGGCTCTCCTCGTCTCTATCCGTGGGCCCCTTTG